CCTCTCCATGCCGCACACCAACACACACACACGGTTTCAATGACACACACACACACACACACACACACACACACACACACACGGTTTCAATAATGAGTGAGTCTAACAACCAACCCTAGACTCACCCAGGAAGCTCAGGGAACATTCTCTGCCCGCGCCTGATCCGCCGTCCCTGCCATCAATGCTCAGTGTTCCTCTGAAGCCCACCCCACCCTCCGGGTCCCAGTGATTTCAAGTAGGAATGTTGAAGGAAAGGTCCTAGAATTGTATTTGAAAAACCAACAAAAATTCTTCCTGGCCTATTCGAGAAGGGTGCCATCTTGTGGTGGATAGAAGGTTGTACATCTCCATGAGACCAACACTGCTGGATAATGGAACCCAAGTACTTTTTTAGTATCCCCACCATTAAACTTAGTAGTCACCCTAAGCTCCAAAGATCGAATAAAAAAATTCCCCCTCAATTAAAATGCTGATTCCATCTCCACCACGCAGTGCCCGAGAGGAGGCGAGAGTTGGCCTATGAAAGTAGGACGGCCGGAATACACCAGCTTTTCAACACCAGACGGTTTGCTACCTGTGTGGGAAATGACACCAGAAGTGGAATGCCAGGACTCTTCCCTCAGAAACTCACTCCATCGATCAAGTCGTGTCTGAGTCATACGACCCTATAGGTCAGGGAACAACTGCCCCTGGGGGGTTCCCAGACTGTCACTCACTATCGGAATAGAAAGCCTCATCTTTCTCTCTAGGAGCAGCCGGTGGTTTCGAACTGCTGACCTTGAGGTTAGCAGCTCAACGAGGTCCCATCACGCCACGAGGGTTCCTCAGAGGGCTCCTAGGTAACTATAAATATTTATGGAAAAGCAGTAATGAATAATGTCCCTTTAATTCTATCTCACTACACATCTTATATGGTCTCACTCATCAATGTTTTCTCTCGTGCCAGGGAGTGTGCTAGGACCCGGGACAGAACAGAAGGCAAAGCTGATGGATCTTCAGGAAGGGTACAGCCCGGAGGTGGAGGCAGACATTAAACACAGAGTAAACAAATCGCATCGATTTTCAAATTCCGGCCAGGGCGATGAAGGACGAGGACAGGGGGCTCAGGTAAAGCCACGGGGAAGCCACGTAGAAATGGGGGGATGTTAGGAAAGTCCCCCGAGCAAGTGGGCCTGACAATTAAAGCCCAAAGAAGAAAAAGAGCCAGGCAAGCAGAGGGTGGCTGTTAGTTGCCGCCGGAACTGGCTATCAGGCACCTGCTGGTGGGTTTGAACCGTCAATCTTTCAACTCGTCATCAAGTAAAGTCCTTCTTCCTTGGTGCCACCCAGAGACTACCTGACATAAGGTCAGAGTGTCCAAAAGGCTCCCAAGCAGGAAGAAAGCCAGCAGCTGGAGGGTGCAAGGGAGGCCAGAGCTGCCTGAGGGAGGTCATTCTGTCTCCTGGACAGGACTCAGATTTTATCCTAAGGGCAAAAGAAAGTCATCCAAGGGTTTTAAAGAGGGAAGTGCTAAGTCGATCTTTGTTGTGTGGAGTCAGATCTGACCCACAGCACCCCTCTGTCCCACAGAATGAACCATGTCCCAGGCTTGAGCCAGCATCCTAACTGTTGTTCCATGGTCCCATCGTTACGAGCCATCTGACGGACGTTTCACAAGGGTGTGGTGACTAAGTGAGGAACTGACCCAGACCAGACTCACCACTATCGAGTTAATACGGACGCACAGCGACCCTGTAGGGCAGGGTGGAATTGCCCCTGTGCATTTCTGAGACTGTAACTGGTTATGGGAGTGGAAAATCCCCTCCTTCTCCCGAGGAGCGGCTGGTGGTCTCTAACTGCCAACCTTGCCAATGGCAGTCCAATTTGTAACCACTTTGCCACCAGATCGCCCAGGGGTTGGCTATTCTCAAAGACTGGGCACAACATGATCCTGGTTTGAATGAGAACCCACTCAGGAAACCAAACGTACCACCATCTAGTTGATTCTGACGCAAAGTGACCCTATAGGGCAGAGTAGAACTGCCCCTGTGGGTTTTGAAGGCTGCGAGGTCTTTATATTGGTAGAAAGCCTCATCTTTCTCCCAGGGAGAGGCTGGTGGTTTTGAACTTCTAACCTCATGGTTAGCATCCCTACACATAGCCCACTCCTCCTCCAGAGCTCCCTTGGACAAAGGCAGGGACATCAAGAGAAATGGAGCAGTTCGAGATCAACTCCCAAGAGGACATGGCGGTGTGTTCAAGGGGGGCAACAAGAGGGGTGTTCAGAGTGACGTGTGGGGGTTCTGACTTGAGCTACTGGGCTTATTGGGATGAGTGGAAGACAGAGAGGGGCATGCTGGGAGGAAGAGATCAAAGTTCAGTTTTGAACATACAACGTTGGAGCTGTTTGGAAGACCACGTGTCCCATGAATTGTCTTCGTACGCATTCACAGCGCAGGTGTCAGACGCGTGGCAGTAAGTACAAAGAGACTGTGGGTGGTCCTGATCAAAGACTATCAGGGAACAGTTCTGATCTTAAGTCAGCTAATAAAATCTTGTAAATAAAAAAGGACCAGAGTGACCATCTGAAGACAGCATGTTCCCTCTTTCTAGGTTGTTTCCCCTCTATTAAATACAGTATTAGTTTCAAACCAATCTTATAAGATCGCGATGCATCTCTTAACATGTTGAACCTGATCTTCATTTTTTAACACGATCTTCACAAAGACGACAGTGGCCATTATGAACGCCGATGTGATGATTACGACTTATTTTCTTTGGACGGAATCGAGACTAGAGTGGAGCTACTGCCGTGCTTGACTCCCTTACTTGCGCTGGCACCAGCAGTCAGCGGACTATTTCACCCTGAAAGGAAAGTGGCTTCCTGGCTTGCCTCTGAGGCAAGCACAGCGAGTGAAAAGTGCCGGTTCCTAAGTGGCAACAGGATAAAATGCAGCGGACAAGGAAAGAATTTGACAAATAAAATTCCCGGGGAAAGTTGAAGACCTCTGCGAGTGTCAAGGTCGTTAATATTAAATTATGACCTTGCACAATGATGTCCAAAAGGCCACGCTGGTTGGCTGCTTCTTCGTTGAAAGACTTTTCAATAAACACGGGTAGGAAGCACTAGGTCTCACAGGATTTAGATATATATTGACTGGGAACTTAAGTTATCTGTGTTTAAAAATTTCAGGCGGTAACTTGCCATCTGTTCTATGGATTTCCTCACCAGTCTGCCACATGTATCAGAAATAAACTAATTTGCTTGCATCTGACTCATGGCAGTAAACCATAGGTTAAACGAAACAAAATAAAACAACAAAAAAGCACAATGGCAGGGACCGCCGTCAAACCAGAACGTAAGCACACAGACACGAAGGCTAAGGTAGTCTTTCACATTAGTCCTCTGAGAGGCATGTTTTTATGCCTTTTATTTTGAATGGAAGGTGCTCGAGGGCCAAAAAGGGTGACTCAACAGATAAGAGTTTTTGGTTGGAAACATGATGCTTCTAGAAACTTAGCTTTTCATCGCCGGTGTTACGGTTAGAAATATTGCCTCCAAGATAACACAACTATGAAAGATAAGGCTGCTCAAAGTATTTGGGAAACGCATGTATTTGCTGCACCTAACACGGTTTTCATTAGAACGTGGGACTCGGGAGTGTTTCCTAGGTGAAAGGAAATTGGGCTGGAACCTTTTCACCTTAAAGCCTGTCCTGTCCAATGCAAACCAGATGAGTGCTGATCCTTCTAGTGCAGTGGTTCTCAACCTGTGGGTCACGACCCCTTTCACAGGAGTCCCCCGATTCATCACAGTAGCAAAATTGCAGTTATAAAGTAGCAACGAAAATAATGTTATGGTTGGGGTCACCACCACATGAGGAACTGTATTATAGCATTGTGGCATCAGGAAGGTTGAGAAGCACTGCTCTAGTGGAAGAAGGATGTGGGGATGTGCTTCTGGCACCACCAACCATTTCAGTGTGAGAGATGACAAACGGGGGTGGGGTGGGGGTCTTCCTGAAGCAGTTGCAGTGTGAACACTCGCTGCAATTGAGTCTGTAACTGATGTCAAACACTGTCTACCAGAACACACGATGCTCTTTCTTCCATAAGATGGGAAGTTCCAGGTGATGATCAGGGGTGATGTCAGAGAATTTAGAATTTTAAAAAGTATCGACAATACTAAGAATACTAAGAAGAGGCTGCTCAATTTTGGCCAATATCAAATAGAAAGAGAGTGTACAAGCTCCTGTTTCCACCCAGCAGCTCCTTATGGAGAGATCTCTCATGGGGCTGAAATGTCCCATGAGGAGATCTGAGACAGATAATGAATCACTCTTTAAATCCGGATGTTTCAAAGAACAATCTTTCTTTGGGGGGCAAGCTCAAACATGTATTCCGCTTTCCCCTGACCCCTCAAACCAAGCTCTCTTGACTAAAAATGAGCCACAGTTAACACTGTAACCTGGAAACATTTTGTACTTCGATTAGTGACTGCTAATCTGAAGGCTGGAGGTTCAAACCCACCAGCTGTTCTGTCAGAGAAAGAGCAGGCTGTCTGCTCCCATCATGATCCAGAACCTCAGAAACCCTAAATAGGGTCGCCATGAGCCATAACTGACCCAAAGGCAGTGCTGTCTGAGCCATGGCGCCCTCAGTGGGAGTCAGTGAGTCCAGAGCACGATGCTTGTCTTGAGACTTTCAGAGTTTTTTTATGTCTGCTGCTACTTCTTACAGAGTGCAGCCCTCTCTTCATCACCTGCCTAGTTGGAGCTCTACTCTGAGGAAGCTGAGAAGGAAGAAGGTCATGTCCGTTGAAAATACAGAGAAGGAGTTGCAATACAGAGAAGGAGTTAAGGCTTCAGGTCCCCATGATGCAAGATGTGTGAACTTGATCACACAGTCAAGGGGAGAGCTCTTCTCAGTTTACAGCTCCATCTATGGTCTCTGTAAGATGTTTTGATGATGGCCTATGGTCACCGAGACTTACCTCCTGGTAATGCACTTGGTATTGTTGATACTCACAAGGTTTACAAGAGTTTGCCCTTCTATGAACGAAGGTCATCTGCTTTGATTGCACAGGATACCGTATCAACATCCACTGGCCTGCTAGATTAGCTCAGGGAATTATTGAGCAGAAAAGCCCCAGTGGAAATTCCGCTGATGTTAAGTGTCTTTATCTCAACCCTGAAATGTTTCCATCCACTTACCATCTGGTCCAGGTCGCCCAGGCGGTCCTGGGGGTCCTTGGAGCCCTGGCTTTCCATCAATTCCTGGTGCTCCAGGGAACACAGCATCGGTGCCTGGTTCTCCTGTGAAGCCTTTGGGCCCCATTTCTCCTGGTAAGCCTCTCTTCTCATCTGTAAATCCAAGAGCAACCACCGGCTTGGTAAGTCCCTCCAAGCAGCTTCTGATATTTACCAACTACTTGTGTATTCCTGGTCATCGGAGAACATCGACAGAACTAGTGAATCTTACAGTCCAATCAGTAACTCAAGGGATGGCTTCTCATTGCCACAGTTCATCGTCATTTCTTTGACTTTAGAAAGCACCCCTTCTTGCTCCCAAATCATGGCCTGAATGTGGGTGCCAATACTTGGAAACCTTCGAGGGTTCCCTAGGCTCTTCCAAACAATTGCTGGGATTATGCTAGCTACGTGCCAGCAGCATCAGCCAGGCAGAGAGGCACTGCCATATGTACAGGGGTTCTGTGCAGGTTCTCACCCCCCCCCCCAAGTATATTTAAGAAGGATTAGAATTTGGTCAGTCTAAGCTATGAGGAAATTGTTTTATATGCCTTTTGTCTTTTGGTATATGAACCCCAGGATTGATGAACGTACAGGGACAGGAGGTAGAGTAAGGGTGGGGGTGGGGGGTTTACAGTGAGGGGGGATGGTGTGGTAAAAGGGGAACTATGTCAAGAAGTCTAGGAAGAAAAAGAATGTTTGGAAACAGATTGTGGTAGCAACTGTATGATACTGCTTGATGTGATTAAACTATGGAATGATATATGCATTAACTCCCAATCATTACTAAATGAAAATAAATATTTTTAAAGAAACAAATAAAATCTATGTACCCATCATGGTTCAGCTGTTATTATTTAGAGCTGAGCACATGTACATTTGATCTTAGATTTGATACTATAAATCTGTATTACCTTCACCTCCGATGGTTATGCCAGGGTGACCTGGTGGGCCGGGGTCTCCTGGCTCACCCCGAAATCCTGGTTCCCCATCATCTCCTGAGAATCCTGGTTCACCTTTGGTACCTGGAACCCAAACAGATCCCACAATAACAATCAATCTCTGGTCTATGTATCACAAAAATATTTATCTTTTTATCGATAACATATGTGCATTGTGTTAAGCCTGATTGGGGTTGTATTTAAATATAGTGGTGCCTGGCTTCGGGGAGGTCATTCATGGTCAAATAAGGATGTTGCAAGATTTCTATACATAACATGAAACAATGGGAGGCAGAGAAGACCAAACAGATACCTAGAGAATTAGAAGGGAAGATTGCTTTTGACTGGGGAATAAGTAATTTGATATTGAGGGGCCATACCTAGATGAAACTCACTGCCATCGAGTCAATGCGGACTCGGAGTGACCCATAGGAGTGGGTAGCACTGCCCCAGTGGGTTTCTGAGTCTGTCTCTCTTTATGAGACCAGAAAGCCTCATCTTTCTCCTGAGGAGAGGCTGGTGGTTTCAAACCGCTAAGCTTGTGGTTTGCAGGGAAACTTGTAACCCACTAGGCCACGAGGGCTCCTTGAGAGACCATAGGGAATAAAAAATAAAATAATAGAAGTAAATAATTGATTTGAGCATAGCTGTGTGTTAAACGCTTTACCTATATCGAATTCCCATAAATCCCTCTGGGGTAAATCATACATGATCCCAATTTTACAAATAAGGAAACGGGTTCACGGAAGTGAAAACTTGCTTGAGGGCCCTCTGAGTCCATGGGGAACGGAATCTGGAAATCAAGCTTTGGATATGGGTGGGAGAAGGGGACAGCGGGGAAGAGGGCAGGAAAACAAGGAAGCGCAGTCAGAGCGACCAAGCTGCCCACACGGAGAGCTGGAAAACCCTGAGCAAGACTGGGCAGCGGCGTTGGGGTGCCAGTGAAGTAGACACGTGGAAAGTCAGAACAAGTACGTGCCTGGGTCTAAAAGCAAGAACCAAGAAGGAAATCACAGGGTCAAAAGTGCCAGTGGAGCAAGGGTTAACGTGCTCAGCTGCAACTCGAAGGCTGAGGGCTGAGGCCACCCAGAGGTGCTCAGAAGAAGGGCCTGGTGATCTACTTCTGACAAGAAAAGCAGCCCTTAGAAGCCCAAGGAAAACAGTTCTACTCGGACATTATGGGATGGCCGTGAATCCGAGTCTACTCAATGGCAACTGTGTGTGTGTGTGCTCATTTTTCCCCCTGCCAGTTAGACACCTTCCCAGGAATCCTGGAATGAGCAGGGCTTGGTTCCTATGGAAACCCTTCTTCCCCAGATATCGATATAGGGTCGGGGTCCAGGTGGCGCGGCCAGCTACGTGTTGGATTGCTAACCTCGAGGTTGACAGCTAAAATCCACCACTTTGGAGAAAGCCAAAGGAGGCGATCTTTCCACATAAAGAGTTACAGTCTCAGAAACGCTGCATAAAGTTGCTTTGAGTCAGAATCAACTTGATGGCAGTGGTTTGGTCTGTTTTTATGCTGCCCAGAGACCTAGTGTAGGTACTCAGATTGACCTCGGATCACTGCTGAATGAATAAAATTCATGAAAGGACTTACAAAGTCTGTGCCCTAAATAAACACATGTAAAGTGGCAACAGGATGCTCTTCTGCTGTGTAAAGAGCAAACAAACAAAAGAAAAACAACCCTACTTCACTATACAGCCTATCTCCCTGAAATATAATTTGGAAATAAGAGAGAAGAAAATAGGTTAAGTTACCATATAAACATTACAGGCAGTCCCTGGGTTAGGAATCTGACTTATGGGCAACTCCTATTTGCTCTTCGAATGCGATGTAAATTCGTCCCCACTTTCAAATGACTTAACTGACCCTGACACCTAACAACTCCTTCCTTACAATCACCTTCACTTGCTGCAGCTGTAGCCTTCAAATCCCTGGAAAGGTGTTGTTTCTTAGGGTGGAACTGCTCCCCGTGGATTTCCCAGCTTGTAACTCTATGGGAGTAGAGAGCCTCATCTTTCTCCCTTGGAGTGGCGGGGGGCTTCAAATCGCTGACCTTGTGGTGAGGAGCCCAACCTGTTATGCCACTATCCTATATGCGGTTTCTGAGGCTTCGTCAATTTCTCTGGAAGCAGACGGCCTCATCTCTCTCCTGCAGAACTGATGGTGGGCTTGAACCATCAATGTTGCTGTCAACATTCCAAAGCCTACTCCACCAGGGTTCTGTTCTTGCATTGTAAAAAAACCAAAACCAAACTCAGTGCCACTGAGTCATTTCTGACTCCTGGCGACCCTACAGGCCGGGAAGAAATGTTCCCCTGGGATTCCGAACCTGGAACTCTTTATGGCAGTAGAAAGGCTCATCTTTCTCCTGCAGAGTGGCTGGTGGGTGTGAACTACTGACCTTGTGGCTAGCAGCTCGATATGTAACCACTGCATCACCAGGGCTCCTTTCTTACACTGGAGTAAAGCTAAAAAGGAACTGTGTGCACATATTCTGCCTTCTACACACTTGATGTTAAAGCACACTTAGCAGCAGAACTTGTTTGTACTGCAGGGACTGTCCGCAATGATTTTAGGAAAGCCTTCATGCTGTATGTGGTTCAGAAAACCCTCTCCAATTCTTTAACATGACAAAAGGCTATTTACTGTGCATCAGACTTGAGCTGCAAACACCAAGGGTTGAAAAGGAGATTCTCCTGTGCGCATTCTACCGTTGGCATGGTTGTCAAGGGGTTGAAGTGATGAACAATAGAGCCAGGTAGCTTGGGTTTGAATCTTGTCTTTGGACTGATTATCTACATGATCTTGGGCTAGTTCCCTAACTTCCCTAGGCTTTATCTCCCCATCAGCAAAGCAGAGCCAATAGTCCTTACCGGATAGGATTGTTAGAAGGTGTACATAAATTGACAAAGTAATTAGGCAATGCAGAATATTGCCTGGGCCCAAAAAAGCAGTACATAAATATCAGCCACTATTATGATTAAATAAAGTGATCAAATTGAAAAAAAATTTCTTGTTTTGTTTGGAAGCAAGATGACTTTTATTTTCAATTACTTTGGGATCATTTCTTTTGACACACATCCACTGTTGCCTGCCCCTTGTTCATATGTCAAGTTCATGCCATGCAACAGAAGCTGCCCATCGGTTAACCTGGCAGTGTAAAAAGTCTTGGAATGCGAGTGGGCTACCATTCCAGCTCACCGGCGATGCAAGAATGTTGTTAAGGAGCAAAGAAGGCCAAGTTTCCATATCTACATGTGAGCAGAGAGCATTTTCAACAATGATTCATCTTCCCAATGTGGTTTCCAGGATTTCAGTGTGGTGAGAGGCAGCGCTAAACGGATTCTGGGCCCTCCATCAGGGACAGTGTTGAAAAATGCAAAAAGAGACGTCGTCAATGTTAACTTAAAAAAAATCATGTCCCCATGCCCTTGAAATCACTAATAATGAGTCACGTCAAACCAGTCTCATGTTCCCTTCCAGTAAGGCTTCTGCGTCGGCAGAGTTTGGATTCCACGCATCAGCCAGTGAAATGTCGGCTCTGCGGGCAAGTGGGTTTAGGGCTTGAGGACACACTTCAAAATATACTGATCAGTGGTTGGATGTCCAACCAGAGGGGACTCTCTTGGGGACAGCACAAACTTTGTACTTGGACTGGTCTGTATGGCCATCAACACTGGATGAAGACACACTAAACCAGCTACTGAATTGACAGGTGATTCACACTGAAGCTGGGAGGTGAGTTCTTGACTCTTGGCCCTATGAGAGGCTTCAACAAGTTTGTGAAAAATGGCCTTAAGAGATAGTTCTGTTAATTATCTTTTGGAAGCCTCCTTGTATATGACAGTGGAGAACCAGATGGGCCACTGAGAGCAGGGGGAAAAATGCTGGAATATTTTTCTGTTTGCAAACCTCTTTAAAACCTCTATCTGCTGTGCATCTATCTGTTAACCTGGGCATCATTCAATCACGGAAGCAGTTATTTACTGAGCCCCCCTTGGTGCCTGCTGCTACTGTAAGCATGGAGCATCAGGAATGAACTCTGTAGGCTATAACCACTGCCCTCAGGGAGTATCCTATAGCATGCACAAATTATCCATCAATAAATATGCATACCATTAGCAGTCGAGGCTATATATCGATCTAGATATCCTAGAAAGATGAACACTGAAAATGTTTTAATGATCAGAGTTCTAGTCACAGAAGGAAGATCACATTCCAATCTGAGCTTGCCAGTTTGGGAGGCTGAGCAGAAACAAGATGAATCTTAGCTGTAACACATGCAAACTCTTTTATTCAGACTCAGGTGATCCACGGCAGCAGCTTGTGTGATGACCCCCAGGGACACGCATGTCGTGAAGATTACAAGGCTGTGACTATTTGCAGATGAAGGGTGGTGATGGGTTTCCACCTCAGACTGGCAAACGGAATGGTTTAAACACGGTGTTTCATTGGGAGAAGAAGACAGAAGGTGAGTGGGACAGTGGCCATCGAGAGATGATGTGTTGAAGGATTAGATCTCATGACTCATGTTCCAGAAAGGCAAAACGAGGCCCTGCAGACGCTCCTGAGAAATAGACGGAGCTCCCCTGAGAAGTAGTGAGTTCTCCATCAGGCAGAGGGACAGTAATGGTCTCAGTATTACTCCTCTTACACTATTAAGGGGGATGTGCAAGAGGCTAATGTTCTTCCCCACACCCTCTTCTTAGAAAACCCTTCCTGAATGTTCCTGGTTGTTCTTCTAAAACCAGTAACAAAATGTCTGGGTGACACTAAGTCATGCAAGAGCAAATGCATACGCACCTTTAGCCAGAGAAGGGTGAGGAGAGTAGACAGGTGGTCCCTGAGGGCCTTGGTCACCCTCTTGTCCCTAAAAGGGTAAAAAGAAAAAAACAAAAGCAGGGCAGATTAACCTTTTAGAGTTTTTGACACTGAACATTTTTTTTCCTTCAAAGAATAAAGATGAACTTGGTTATCAAGACTCAAGCTAATTGAGCTGATCTGCTCTGTTGGCCAACGGGACCACGGACTGTCCACGGAGAACAATCCCACTACGTGTTCCCGAGGAGCCCCAGGCGTCAACCACGGGTCTGACGTGCCAGTAGAGAGCGCACAGCATGGGAAGCCCTTATTCTCAGCCTGGTCAACCTCCAGGAATGATCAGGAACCGACATCGTCTACAGCGCAGGGTGGGGCAGTATAGAGAAAGCTATCCATGCCACCCCATGCAGATGAGTGGGGCGATGACATGCATACTTCTTGACATCATACCACTTCAGGGGAAGAAGTAAAAAGCCGCCCCAAATGGAACATAAGGTTACCTTGGCTCCTTTCGGTCCATCGTACCCTTGGTAACCATCTGGTCCTCTAATTCCCTGGAAGAAAGATTTTATTTTTCATTTTCCTTGTTAACAACCTATAATAAACAATAGCTAGGGAACCATTGCTGTTTTAATACAATAAATACACGTTCATTTATGGCATCGATTCCAGTCTCTATTGTTTTCCCTGATTGTGTTAAAAAGGTCTTTCTGAAGGGCCGTGTGGGTCGCACATTGCGCGGCTAGCCACAAAGTCAGCAGTTTGAATCCACCAGCCGTTCCTCACCAAAGAGATGAGGCTTTCTGTCCCCACGTGGAACGGATTTCCAGCCTCAGACGTCCACGCGGGCAGTTCCACTCTGTCCCGCAGGGTGGCTATGACTTGGATTCAACTCCATGGGTGAATTGGGTGGACTTTGTTTTCCAACCTTTTCTGAATTAAAAAAAAAAAATTCAAGCTGTTTTCTTTTCCTTTCTCTCTCCTTTCCATCCTTCCCTCTCATTTGGAGCTGTTGTTGGACAAACGGGGTGATGTGTCCTGCAAACACCCTCCATTCTGGAGTGGGGTCGATGCCACCCTCGTGAGCTGCATGGTAGACTCTCTTCACCACATTCTCTCTAAATAAGTCGTTCGCACCACAGGCATCCTTGGACTTCCGCTCATCTTGTGGCAAGACTTCGTCCTGCGGAAGGACGCCTGCACTTCCCATTGCACTGCATCCGCGGGCACACGTGAGTGTGCGGCTGTGCACGCGAGTGGCGTGGTGCTTGGACCGACGGCTGGGCTCAGGAATTTGTAGCGGAGTCTATTCAAATCTTCCCCGAACAGGGGTTTGGAAACTTTCGGAGGACACGAGATGGAGGCGCCAAAGCCCTTTGATTTAGCAAGTCTTTCTTCATTCTTTTAAACACCCCCGAGTGCTAACGATTGAGTTCTAATTCCTCGGCATGTTTCCTGACGGAGACCGCTGACCCAGATGCACCATAGCACACGGTCTCCAGAGAGCGAGACGTGAACGCTCAATGTAACCATCCAGAGACGCATCTCCTCCTGCCAAAGTACGCATTTGTTAAGACCGAAAAACTCAACCCACGGCTACTGAGTTGGTTCTGACTCATCGGGACCCCACAGGACAGAGTCGAACTGCTCCCTAGGGTTTTTCCGACTGTAATTGTTTATGGGCGGAGAGATATAGCCTGGTCATTCCCTGCAAGGGGCTGATGGTGGGTTTGAACCACCCACCGGACAGTTAACAGTCTAACACTCAACCCCGCTCTCCAAATTCAGAATGCAAAGTCCCAGTAGTATTAAAAATACAATCGCTTGTTATCTGACGGGTTTTTAAGACAGACACCCAGAAGTAAGTCTCCTGAGAGTCTCTTTCAGGATGAGGCTGGGAGAATTTTGTGGTTGATCGCAAGCCCATGATTGAGGTTATGACTTGCTTTCACACTAGGTGGAGCTGAAGATTCAAAAGTTTCTTAGACTTTCACATCTCTGGTTTCACTGTCACCTCCTGGGTAAAGCTAGAAATCCTTACTGAGCTTGCTAAGGACTGGAGAGTTGGCAACGAGGCTTGTGGTCTGAGGAAAGTCCAAGGCCCGAGACATAATTCCTGCTAACATAACCAAAGCATCACCAAACCCTGACTTGCCGCCACGGAGTGGAATCCAACACATCGTGACGCCATCTAGGGTGTCTGAGGCTGTCAACCTTTACTGGAGCAAACGGCCTCCTTCTCCTCCTGAAGGGCAGCTAGTGAGTGGATTTGGACCCCTGACATTGAGTTCGTGCCCCTAGGCCTCAGTCAAGTTGATACGTCACTCGGTGCCACCAACGTACTGCTCAGTCATGCTGCCAGCCCTGGTGGGGGAGTGGTTAAGTGTTGGGCTTCATTCTGCATGGCTGCAGTTCCAGACCACCAGCAGCTCCGAGGGAGAAGACTGGGCTTTCTACTCTGGTACAGAGTTACAGTCTCAGAAACCTGCAGGGGTCACTATGGGTCAACATTGACTGATGGCAGTGAGTGTGCTTTAACAGAACCCCAAAACCAAGTCCCTGCCACGGAGTCAATTCCGACTCATAGGCAAAAGTGGAACTGCCCCTATGGGTTTCTGAGACTGAATCATTATAGGTGTAGAAAGCCTTACTTTCTCCTACGGAGAGGCTGGTGGTTTTGAACTACTGACCTTGTAGTTAGCAGCCCTCAAATACCAAGTGCTCATCACCTCTGATGAAAAAGCCAAAATAGAACTAGTATTTTTTTGAATAATGTCTGCATGCCTGGGATGAACTGGGTATTATGTGAAACCAATTTGAGAAAGGAGAATGAACGAGCACTCAGAATTCCTCTGAGTCTATCGATAGTTGGAACGCCGGTAGTCTGGACTCCCAATAGTCAACACAACTGAACAGGATCCCTGTGAATTCTCAGGGGCAGATAACGTGGAAAGGGGGTATGTGTAGCTGAGGATGGAGTCTAGCTTGGAGGAAGGTGGGTAATTGGTCGGTACCGTGCATCAGTCTGAGAACACTGACAGCTGGAATCCCAATCGTCTGGAACCCCAAAAGTCAAAACATTAGCATGAACAGTCCCTTCTGTGCTCCTCCGTGGGCAGATAAAGGGGTGGAGGCAAGCCAGGAGTCAGGCTGTCAAGAAGGACAACATGCAGGGGTTCTCCCCAGGGGATGCGAGCGAAGACAATGGCTAGAAGAATCCAGCTTGGATTCTGAAGGCTCCCTGAGCCCTTGCTTAGACACAAGGCATCTAGCTCCTGTTCCGTCAAGTGCCACCCAGGTCTGTCATTTGGAGAAACTGAAGTTGGCAAAATTTCTGGCTCAGAATGAATTGTTATAAAGTGCTTTGAAAGTCCTTAAAACTTAATATCACACCACTTACTTGAAATCACTGAGTATATACAGAGAGTACATACAGATGAGATGTTCTAATGATATCATTTTAGAAGTGGTCAATTTTTTTTAAACAGCCTTTCAATGATGTTTAAGAACAACCCAAATTAGGCTAACATTAGATAGAAATTTCTAGTGATTGGCTGTAAGGAACAGATATAAAGAATTTTTGGTGAAAATCTTTTAGGGAAATGTATACGTCTGAGAGGCTTAACAACAGGTTTTCTTCCCTGTTGATGCAGTGGACCAAAAGCCCAGTCATCAGAAAGCCGCGCTCCCATGGGAGAAAGGAGATTGATTCTACCCCCAGAGGGCCAGGTCCACCCTGTGCTGTGCGGTGACCCCGAGTCAGAAGCAACCTGACAGCAGTGAGAGTGAATTGACCTTGATCACTTGTGCTGTTCCTTGGCTGACCCTAGTCTCGGTCCAACGGCCAAAGTACTCTGTTGTGGTTTCCTGTGCCAGTTTGGTCAATTCCAACCCTTCGGAACAGAGTAGGACTGGTCCTTGGCGGAGCCACTGGGGGGTCTGAACCCCAAGCTTTATGGGTAACAGCCAATCTCTTAGCTACTGTCCCCCAGGACTCTGAATCAACATTGGGTCTCAAGGGACCTCTTCCAGAGCTGAGAAGGAAATGAGATTTAATGTGTGAGAATGGAAGGCAAGGAGATTTCAATCAACGAGCCCAAGCTACAAAAACCAGTGGTCTCCCCTTCAAACAACTTGGTTTTTGCTTGCTTCCAAGCAATTCAGAACTAACGCTACACGGCCAGGGCCAGCAGTCTTGATGCCTGCACTGGGGAAGAAGGAATCTTATCCACTTGGACACTGGCTGTCACGGAGATCGTGTTGGAGTTTTGAAGAGGGTTGCTGTAGTTCAAATGACTGTGTTGATAAAGGGGGAGGGAGGGATTCCAAATGCATTATGGACAGGGGTGACCATTAAATGTGCACCTTTTCAATGGACAGAATGTTCACGAGTATGGTCTTAAATGACAAGCTCTGCCAGACTTGTCCTCAGTTACTAAGAACGTGTGTCCTAGAAAACCACAGCCAAACTCACTGCCGTGGGGTCAACTCAGACCCATAGCAACCCTACAGGACAGGGCAGGACTGCCCCTTTGGGGCTCCAACACTGTCACCCGTCCAGGGAGCACAAAAAGCCTCCACTTTCTCCGGTAAAGTGGCTAGTGGTTGTGAACTGCTGACCTTGTGGTGTGCAGCCCAATGCATACATAACCCACGACTCCACTAGACCTCCCTTCCTCTAGAAAAGGGAGGGGAAACAATCTTTACTTTTCCTAATAAGTTAATATAACCAAATCCCAAAAGGCACTTTCTATTACCCTTACAGAAAGGAATAGAACAAATAAAGGGGTGGGGGGTGGAAGGGTGATGCTCAAAAAGTTTGTGGCACAAGTCCATGATCTTTTCCTTCCAATTTTTCCACGTACTCTTTGAAGCTCCTTTAATAGACGTTGTCTTCGGTGCAGAAGGAACCGGGGTAATGACTGTGTGTGCACCTAAGGAAGGCAAACCTGTTCACAGCGTATGCTTTCTTTTCTGTTTCATCCGATGGTAACGCACCATTTACATTACTGTTTACACTTGCTCCACGAAGCTGCCTTTGGCTTCTGGTTCCATTTTATACCATGAAACCCAAGTTTATGAGTCCAAACCTATAGTCGGTGGGGGTTAGTAATGGCAACTTGGCAAGGAAGAGACCATACAACAGACGCGACAGTGGGATAGTTTGGTACTAACAAGGAGGACGGCTGAGTCATTTGTGTATGTCCTGTCTCTTTCCGATTTTTGTAGTCACGTAAACGGTGTCTTCTTAGCAACTGCGATGTCCCACTCAGCAGGAACTATTTGTCTTCTCAAGCTGTAGCAGCTGCAGAAAGCAAGCTCCAAGCAGTTGGCCATAAAGCCTAACATCTGGGTGACAGCAGTCAAAGGGACCAGGTGGTCAGTGCTTGCTGAGTTCTAGGTGGCAGCTGTGTTTAAGAAACCCTGCATTTTAAAAACACTGCAACTCCTTTGTGTTGGGTATAAGAAAATCCCAAACCGAATTGTTATGATTTCACTAGCAAGTCCTAAGAAACGAAAGCATTGAAGAGCAGCACTTTAATTATATGCCCCGAATACGAATGACGCTCTGGTCCTCAGTTTCTTTACAATATTTGCTGAGTGTAATCCCTAACCTAGAGCCCAGCCTTTTTGCCTTTTGACGGGGCTGGAGCGTGAATAGCTATCTCTTTCGGGGGAACTTTTGGGGTCTCTCCTTTCAGTAAGTCAGGATATGAAGAGTTGGGTGTCAGCAAGTCAGGGCTGGGTAGTCATGCTCTGCCCTGAGATGAGGAGCACATGGGAGGCCTGGGAAGAATAGGTGGCAGTAGGGAGTGATCAACATGGGAACCACTAGTGGTGTCAAAACCTGAACCCTGAGCTAATGAACGCAGCCTGCATCAAGAACTCGGGAAGGTCAGCAATGGAATCTGGGAGGCCAACCCAATCCATGATCAGAGAATGAGTTAGTTAATTGTGCCAGACTGGCCAATAATCACATGTGGGGCTAATTGAAAGGCGGAGGGATAAATGGGTGGTGAGCCTCGCCTTTCTAGTTCTCGGGTCTCTTGTTTTGTGATGATTGCACCGGGTGCAGCTGCCTTAGCAGTTCCCTGCTTCAGCTTGCAAGATTGACTTCCTACAAGACATCCCCAAGGAGAAGCCACATAGACCTATCCCGATGCAGCCCTGGGTGCTGGAGCAGCCGTGTGGAGACCCCTGCTATTGCTGAGATGCTTATTCGTTCACTGACTCAGCTTTCCTCCTGCAGTCGGCATCATTGCCTCTGTTTTGTGAGGTGGAGGACTTTGTGGACTGGTGTTGGGTTAATGGGTTAATGTTGGACTTGTGGGCTTGGGCAGCATTGGGTTGGGATGTTTTCGTGATGCACCTTTTCTTCACATAAAACTCTCTCTTATACGTGAGTTGCCATGGATTTGTTTCTCCAAAGTACCCAGACTAATACAGAGAATAAACGTGGTCAAACTTTCCAGGAAGGGCTGGATGAAAGTGCAGCTTGCTAACCATATTTTTAGGGTCTCCAGATGTTCTGCTACCATCCTGCAATGGACCAGTGGGAGGTGTCAATGGAGCTATGATTCTGAGGCTGAAGTCATTCATAAAAAAAATCCGTATGTATGTATGTATGTATGTATGTATGTATGTATGTATGTATGTATATATAACTGCTCTCACTCAACACCATTGAGTCAACTCTAAAGGGAAGTGTAGAACTGCCTTTATGAGTTTCCGACACCATAACTGTTCATGGGAGTAGAAAGCTTATTCTTTCTCCCTAGGAGTGGCCAGTGGTTTTGAACCGCTGACCTTGTGGTTAACAGCTCAACAGATCAGCACTATGCCACCAGGGCTCCATGTAACTTCTAGGACTTCATTATGGAAATTATGGCCTGTTGGTGCCAACATATCATAACATTGACTGCATGATCATTTGAAATAGCAAGCAAGTAGAAACCAATGAACTCCTAGCATCTGGTGTCATTAGAAAAATACTGTATAGCCATTTACTGGAGTTCCATGCAGTCTGCTAATCGCACAAGGAGATCTAGAAATGCTAATAGGAACACTCTCCAAGGCACATTAAGTAAAAACCAAACAAAAACCAAGCGTCAAAATCGTATGTATCTATTTACGCGTTAAGTTGTATGTACATGAGAGTCTATGTGATGGCGACATAGTAGCACTGTCTGAACACGGCTGGCTCTGGGGCGGGTGCCGGGTTCAGAGCAGGAAGGAGGTGAGCCATGGATTCTAAGACTGGTTAGTGAGAAGAATGAGGAATAAAAATAAAGAAATCACTTTAACTCTGTTTCGGTGCATACTTACTCTATGAAGTGATGACGTAGATTCAGTTTCATAACATCTTTTTCATATAACATTTTTCCCCATTTTCTTTTTTAAAAAGGGAGTCCAAAATATGTTTGCAGACACATGGTAAAAAATAACAAACATAAACTGGTGTCTTCGTTGAACATAAACTGGTGTCAAAATAGGAGAGGGATTCAAAAAGTTCATGGAAAAATGCAATGAAAAATCATGGAATTTTTCCATAAACCTTAAAAAAATCATTTTACTGGGGGTGCTCGTACAACTCCCAACACAATCCATCCATGCATCCATTGTCCCACGAACTTTTTGAAGCCCCATTGAATGTAAGGCGAGTCTACAAAACAATGCATAGTGGGCCTTGGTCAGCAGCTTGACCACACTCCTAAGAGTGACAGAGAGGGGCGTGTAAGACTGGAAGGAATAAAAGCCAGGGGAAAAGTACATAATTTGACTCCGGTCCTGAATAACCTGGGAGGGCAGGTGATTTATGCTACTGTAAATGCAGGGCACATTGTACATGTATTTCCCTGGGGCAAGCGCTCTTTTCTGAGAGACCACCTTCTTTCTTCCCTTCCCTCTGTCCTGTGTAAGGAGATTCAGCCCCGAGCAGACAGCACTTCATGTAGCAGTCTTACCTTTTGCCCTGGGAATCCAATTTCTCCATCGAAGCCAGCGGAACCCTGAATTGAACAGAAAGCAGAAGCAGTAAGAGTGATGAATTCTAGGGCTGTGTTAAGGAGCATAATAAACAGCAAAACTAAGTAGCTCATTGAAAACCTTTTTCTGGGTGTTCTCTGGCATGACCTAGAGCTGGATGCACAGCCCCGTTCTCCCGTCACACAGCAAACGTTCAGAGGGCATTCTTAGGGGGCCTGACCTTGAAAGTCTAAGGTTGCTGGACAGACCCAGTAATTCTTACGTGGACAGTCAGAAGAATGAGAACCCAGCCCCCAGCCCCGCCCCAGTCAGGCAGAGGAGTCCAAGAACATCCAAGGGTGACAGAAAGATCTCTCAGGAGCAAGATGCATTACCGAGCCACATGACAGTTACTGTGAAAGTGATCAAGACACCAGACCTCTTGTCTAAAGGTGATCAAACATTTTGGGACCACTTTCATACACGACATCATTTCTATAACTTAAAGAAATATGAACCCACACAAAAATGGCAAAACTCTTTTAAAAGCCTGTCCTCCGCCGTTCGAACGGTCCGCCCTCCTCTGTTTTGGGGAACTGTAAAGTATGTCTTCTTAGTGGCGGTGGGATTAACAGCGCCCCACATGTTCTCTGCCAGGCTCCACATTTCCCAATAGGCCCTGATGTTGAGTTTGGCCCTGCGACTGAGTCCAGGCCAATGGAATCCGAGCAGAAGAGGTGGGGGTCATTTCCAAGTCAAGACTTCGAAGAAGCAGGTATGCCCTGAGTCACAATATGGCAGAATGAGATCCCCCATGCCCACCCCCGCCCCCCATATAGACACTAAGTGATATATTTTCAGACTCAGGGCAGTAAGAAATAAACGTCCAGTCATTGTACATGTTTGGTATTCTCGACACATGGCGGCCCCATGTACAATGCAATTGGCTATAGAGATGATGGGTGTGAGCCATACAGTTGTCACGCATCTCATTTTGGAAGCTCTGCTAAAATTGCTCAGTGTCACAGCATCATGCAAGTCTTCCCCGACAGACAGGAGGTGGCTGCACTTAGGGTGCATTGGCTGGGATCCAAACCCAGGTCTCCTGCAGGGAATACAGAGGTGCTACTATGACCCATCCATGCCTCCACATGTTTGGTTACCACAACCTCATGTAGCGGAGCGAAAACAAACAGAGACCTTTCCCGGCTCAGTTCTCACCCTCCTGCACCTGGAGACGCACGGTTTGCAAACAGCAGTTATAGAAACGTCACTCACCCGCAGTCCTGGGAAGCCCATGACTCCTTCTTCTCCCTTGTAGGAAATGCCCTAGGAAAGGACAAGAGAGCATCACGTCACAGAGCTTCGGAATCCGACCTGGTGCACACCTGACTGTGACCAGACTACCTCTTGTGATGACCCAGCCCAGGCGAGTGCAGGATTCAGAGCGAAACCCTCGGATTTGCCTGGATGATCACTGTGTTAGGGACCACGTGGGCAAACCAGGCAGTTGTGAACCAGGACAATGCAATTGTTGTGTAGCTTATAGTTTTACAATTATATACATATGAAGAGAGAGACAGAGAGAGAGAGACAGAGACAGAGAGAGAGAGAGAGAGAGAGAGAGAGAGAGAGAGAGAGAGAGAGAATGAATATAGCTAGAGTTCTCAAACAGAAACTAGCTCATAAAACATCCATAGGTCTCCATGCCTTCTGCACTTGCCAGTCTTCCCACCCTCCTCCCCTCTTCTTCTTCCTTCCTAAGGAGTTTGGGTTTGTTTTATAAACTATGAGCATGGAGGCCCTATATGGTGGATGGCCAGATAACCTTAGCCTTCAGAGTCCTATGACCTGGACCCAATTTGACAACCGAGGGCACTGTTACACCAATGCCTATTATCCACACACCAAACCAAACTCACTGCCCTGCAGTCAGTTCTGACTCACAGCAGCCACACAGGACACACTAGAACTGCCCCAGGCATTCCCACGGCCGGAAGATACACGGCAGCAGCAAACCTCTTTCTCCCTTGAAGAGGCAAGAGGTTTTCAAAGTGTTGACCCCTGACTAACCCACAATGTCATCGGGGAACCAAATGTTTGTTATGCAAAAGGTAAACAATGATAAGATTAGCTTCTGGAAAAAAGTGTGGGCAGACATGATCGTATTCTAACATGGTAGACAAATGGATGAGAATCCCCATGTCCACGGATCATTTAGACGACCCGTCCTTTTCATTCCAATGAACAGGCACAGACCGAGGGACGACAATGGACGACGTGTTGCTCGCCGACTTACTTTTCTTCCTGGTTCTCCCTCACTCCCTTTTTCACCCTGGCAAGAATAAGAAAAGACCAAACAAGAACTCTATGAATGTCAGGTGAGTAATATTGAAAATCGCTCAGGGGTTTATGCTCTGAAGTGAGAAGTATTTAATAAAACTGTTAACAATTATGACAAATTGATCATCACAAATGACTCCTAAATCTTGCAGCTTCAACATTCAAAATTCAAAGGCATCGGGTTACTTTTTCTGGATCTTCACGCTATACACTGAACCATGGATTCATTTGGAGACTCTTGAGATTCTGTAGATGCTTCACTCCGGGCAGTTCCAGGAATGTAGTACAGCCTCCTAACTCACTGCTATTGAGTCAACTGATTCATAGCAACCCTATAGGATCGAGCAGACATGCCCCAGTGGGCTTCCTAGACTGTAAGGCTTTATGGCAGGACAGAGTCTCATCTTTCTCTCGTGGACCGGCTGGTAGTTTTGAACTGCTGACCTTGTGGTTAGCAGCACCAGTGCTAAATAACTATAGCACTGGGGCCCCTTTACAGCCTCATAGTGGGGAGTATATGTCCTGGAGAGTGTCCCTCATTACAGCGGCCTGAATAAAACTTTAGCCGGAAGGGACTCTGAGGGAAAGGCACAGTCAGGACACATGAAAACATCAAGCAAACGTGGTTTTAGAAACCAATGTCATTTTTGTGAGATGTGTTGCTTTCTCATTTCTCTTGGTATAAAACAGGGAGAAGAACGCAGGTCACTGCGTGGTCCTTCCTCCCCAGCATGAATGATACTGCACTGTGGACTCCTGCAGCTCAAGACTTCCCCCTGCCAGCCTGGTCCTGTCCAAGCTCGGGGCCCAATCCTCACGATGGTTGGAGAAAAGTTGGAAATCGGATTGGGGTGTTTACGTCACGCAGTATCGATCCAACCTGCTTCTGGCCCTGCTTCAACCTCAGGTTCCTGTTCTGAAAGTACAGAAGTCCTACCTGGCTGACCTCTCAGTGTCAGTGTCTGGCTAGAGCCCCAACCTAGCTACTGATGTGTTGGTACCATGCCTTACCTGACTTGGTTGCTCCATTTGCCAGCGTCCAGATTTGGGGGTTACCTGCCCTATTACTTAGCAGGTATGTAATCACCTGCTTTTGGACGCCTTTTCGCCTGGCATTTGGGCCTGACATTCCTCAGCTCTCAGGCCACTTTCATCAACCATCTCTGTTAACTTGGGTCACAGCGGCCTGGGTGGATCTCCTTGTAAATAAAGGCTGCGTATGATCTTCCTTTCCTCCACCACTGAGCGGGCCCTTCCTCCCCATCCATGATGGAGCACCAGACACCGCCTTAACACACCGGGAAATGAGTCTACTCAGAAACAAATGCATTCTATGGGCTCAGTTCCCATAGAATTCAACAAACCACATTTGTTGAATGTGGGTGCTCTACGCACATGGTCTCACGCAGCCAGTTCCACAGCTCGATGAATGAAGTGGCGTGCCTTTGGGTGTAGTGCGTCGGTGGTGGAGCTGGGAGTCCAGGTCCATGTGACCAAGCCGACGATGTTCTGAATCCCAAACTGACTGCTGCTCAGCGTGTGTGAGCTGCCCTGATGAAACCCTGCTGACCCTCACTGGACAGTGGTATACATTACAAAAGGCTGGAAGTTAGGACGTTTGTTTTTATTTTAGATTCCAAGAGTACATCTTCAACCCAACAGAGCGTTGAAAGACATTGGAGAAAGTCAGAAAATTGACTTGGATGGGGAAAAATGCACTCTGTGTCAGCAAAGAGAATAAATAGATTTTGTTTTGATCAAGATTCCATTTCACTCAACTATTTCCGTGATTCTGGTTTTGAATTATACTCATGTCATTTCATCTTATCTCACTACCGGCCCATTGATTGCCAACTCGTTGTGATCCCCTAGGACAGAGTGGCACTGGCCTTATGGGTTTCCAAGACTGTAACTCGCTCCAGGAGGAGAAACACTTGCCTTTCTCCCACAGAACGGCCGGTCCATTTGACCTGCCAACATTACTTACCGTTAGCAGCCCACGACA